CGTGTGTGTGTGTGTGTGTGTGTTGTGTGTGTTGTGTGTGCGTGTGTGTGCTTGTGTGTGTGCGTGTGTGTATGTGTGTGTGGGTTTGTGTGTGGTTGTGTGTGTGGTTGGTTTCGTGGTTGTGTGTCGTGTGCGCTGTGTGTTGCGTGTGTGTTTGTGTTGTGTGCGTTGTGTGGTGTGTGTTGTCTGTGTTGAGTGTTGTGTGTGCGTGTTGTGTGTGTGGTGTGTGTGTGTGTTGCGTGTGTGTTGTATGTGTGTGTTGTGTGTTGTGTGTGGTGTGTGTTCTGTGTGATGTGTGTGTGGTGTGTGGTGTGTGTGGTGTGTGTGTGGTGTGTGTGTGTGGTGTGTGTGTGTGGTGTGTGTGGTGTGTGTGTGGTGTGTGGTGTGTGTGTGGTGTGTGTGGTGTGTGTGTGGTGTGTGTGTGTGGTGTGTGTGGTGTGTGTGTGTGGTGTGTGTGGTGTGTGTGTGGTGTCTGTGGTGCCTGTGGTGTCTGTGGTGTCTGTGGTGTCTGTTTGTGTGTGTGCGCGTGTGCGTCTGCGTGTGCGTGTGCGTGGGCGTGGGCGTGTGCGTGTGCGCGTGCGTGCGTGCGTGCGTGTGCGTGTGCGTGTGCGTGTGCGTGTGCGTGTGCGTGTGCGTGTGCGTGCGTGCGTGTGCGTGTGTGTGCTTGTGCGCGTGTGTGTATGCGTGTGTGTGCTTGTGTGTGTGTGTGTGGAAGTCTGGGGAGCGTCCGAAGGCTTCAGGCGCCTGGGGGTGCCTGGGCGCGCCTGAGGGTGCACGGGAAATGCTTGTGAGCTTCGTAAGGGGCTTTTGGGATCTCTGGGAATCGCCCAAGCGGCCCGCAATGTCCTGGGACTCGGGGACTACTTGCGAGTCCTGACGAGGCCGGGCGGTGCGACGGGAACCGAGCCGCCCAAGAGGGTCGCGCTGGCGCTGGTCAATGTGGAGCTCGGGCGGGAAAGCACGGCATCGGCGAACGTAATTGGGCAAACAGCGGATCCAAACAGCGTACAAAGGTAAAGTGTTTTCTCCAAAGGAATTTGCTCCACAACGAAAAGCAGTACAGACCCGTCTAACGCGCAAGCTCTGTAGAGTTGAATTGCCAGCGTGAGCTAATGCACGAGAGCGTTTCAGAAGATTTCTTTTTGTTTGACTTTCTGCTTCTTTGCTTGTGGCACTTTTTGTTGGTGGAGTCTGCTTGCCTGCTTCACACTTTTGTTTTTCGCCTCGTCAGAGGCTACTGAGCTGTCTGTCGAGCTTTTCGATGGGGACTCCGCGGGCCGCGCGCTGCCTTGTTGTTTGGCTTCTGCTCTGGGGCCCGCGCGTCACTTCGCACAGGTTGCTTCGGGTCTTTGGAATGAGATGTGGCATCCGCTCCTCGGGCTAGAGTTGCCCTTCTAGGGAAATGAGTGGTTTGCCATTCGTTTTGGATAGGCAGTTGCTTTCCTTGAGGCTAGCGTTGCCCTGTCTTGGACGTGTGTTACCTTTATCTAGGAGTTTGCACCCCCCCTGGTTATTCGTAATTCTTGGTATCGCTCGGACGTGTGCACTTTTTCTCGGCGGGGATCATTGAGGAGCATCCTGGATCATCCTGCGAGAAGACCACGCACGAAGCCGAAAAAAACACAGGTAATGGACGTCCGTGCGATGGCCAGAATTCTGGGTACGTCGAGCAAGCCGCGCTTCCAATTCGGCGATTGGCGCGCTCTGAGTCGGGGAGTTCACCGTCGCGGAATGTGTCACTCACGCAGTTGTTGCGCTCCCGATTCGTGGCGCCACAGAGTCCTTGTACCGCAGAATCGGCGCACCACGGAATGTGTCCGAGGACGGCGAGCGAGCAACAATGCAATCATCATGCGGATCTATCTTCTGGAAGCCTTTTTTTGAAGAGGAGAGGTGCAAGGAGGGATTATCAGGAATACGACGAGAGTGGTTGCCGTCTCATCCGTAAGTTGCGTCGTTCTAAGTTCGCCATTCGGTTGCATATGGCGGGTTTGCTTCGGGCCCATCGTAAGGTACTTGTATGTTGGTCTTGCTCCTCGATGTTGCTCCTCGCGGATGTCGGTGAACGTCCAGGCACGGCACCGGGCAACGCCTGCTGCGTGGCGCGTGCCCAAGCCGTGGCGTATAACATGCGCAGGGAATTCTCGCGACGACGACGCCTCACGGTCGACCTCTGGACCTGCCCCTCGGGCGCTTTCAAGTCCCGATTTCGAGCCCGATCCAGCCGTGGCGGCGAGGGCGCCCCCCGACGGGCCAGAAGTGTCAAACATCCGGAGCCATCGGCCCTCGAAGAGCACCGATCCTCGAAAGACGACGACGACGATGAGCCCGGGGGCGTGAGGAGAACTCCGAGTTCGCGGCCAGAGTGGCGCAGGCAAAGGCTGCCGAGCGGAACACCTGGGGAGTCGCCGAGCACATCGAGCAGTACCAGGCTCGTGGTGGCTCGTGCTACGCTGACGGCGCGCTGAAGGGGGCGCGGCGAGAGTGTTGGGGAGCGGAGGCTTCCACGAGGCCATCTGGTGAGGCAGGAGGGCTTCGGAGAAGCCCCCGCTCCGTTCTCAGGAGGCCATTCCGCTCCCCTCGCCCACGCCCTTCCCCGCGCCGCCGACCAAGCATGTGGCTCTTGCCGGTCGTCGTTGGGCCAAGCCATTGTGCTCCAAGCTTCTCTCTTGGCGGGTGCGTGTCCTCTCCGAGCTCTCATCTCCCCCCACCCCACCACCCCGCGCCGCGGGGAAGGAGAGGGGGGACCTGGGGAGGGAGGAGGACGAGGATCGAACAGGAGGGAGGGAGAGAGCACGAGGAGGGACGAGGAGGCGTGAGGAAGGTTCTTAAGGAGAAGGAGGGAGATTCTGATTTGGACGCGCTGGTGGAGGAGGAGGGTGAGGAGAAGGATGAGGAGGCACGCGTGTGCTCTGGTGGGAATCTCGGTGTCCACATGGGGCTACTGGAGTCATGTGGAGCTCGCGAGTGTCCCCCCTCCGCTTGTCCCAGCTCTCCGTCTCCGCCTTCTGTCCTGACCCTGGGGGGAGGTCAAAGGGAGTCGTAGGCTTTCCCAGCTTGCGCCGCGGTGGGAAGGATGGGGTCCTGGGGCCTGGGAGCTGACACTACCTGGCCGTGTGCGACCAGTCGGGGGCAGTCCAGGATCTCGGGGCTCCATCACCCATACCGTGACCGGGATACAACCACCCAATGTCGAGTGGTGGTGGATGCGGTGAGTAGCACCGTACAGTTCTGTCCGTTGTACTCAGGTGCACCACGCGTGGGTCACTTCGACCAATAGGTCGTCTGGTCCCCCCTGGGCAAGGGGGACTGGCGGGGGTGCTCTGGGCACCGTGTCCACAGGGACTACGTGGGTGACCCGCCTGGTCGTCGTGGGTTTTCGGGGTCCCGACCTCAATGAGGCGGAGGCCTGAGTCGGCACTTCTGGGGAGGGTGTCACTACCTGAGCTGGGGCTGCACGGATGGACATGATCGCGGCCTTCGGGCTTGTTGAAATACGTTAGGTGAACGATCAGCCTGTTTAGTTTTCTGGCCGAACGGAAGTACACATTAGGTGTTGTTGTCGTCGTGCCTTTACCAGCTCCCATTTTTGTGTGAACGGCTTCGGCCGTGCAATTGAGCTCCACCGCTCTGTTTGCGCCTGTTCTTTGAAGCCTCTTGTCTTGGCAGTAATCCTGGCAATCCTCCTCCTCCTCCTCCTCCTCCTCCTCCTCCTCCTCCTCCTCCTCCTCCATGTTGCTTCTGCTACGTATCCTCCTCGTCTCCCCCCCTCGTTCTCCTCACTCTTCCTTCTCTTTTTCCTCCTCATCCTCCTGCCTTTGGTTTTTTTCGACCTGCTGTTCACACTGCTCCTTCTCTCCGTGTCGTCGTCCTCCTCGTCCTCTGCCTTCTGCATCTCCTCCCCGCTCCTTTCCTTTCCTTTCCTTTCCCCTCCGTCCCTCCCTCGTTCACCCAGGACTGATTCGAGTCGCCCAAGTCTCGCTTCGCTGGCTCGAGCGGGTGGGGCTCAGGCGGGCGGGCCGGGCGGGGGGGGGGGACGCTCAAGCGGGGGGGGGGGAGGCGAGACGGGCGAAGCGAGAGTCGCGCGAGGCGAGCCCAGTCCCCCTCACCCCTCCGAGGACGCGGCAGCGGCGACGGACGGCGGTCGCCGATGGCCCCCAGCCGCGCGGCGGCAGGCACGAGCAGCCGCGCGCGCGCGCGGCGCCGCGGCAGGCCGCGCGGGAGGCCGAGGAGAGGGAGAAGCGGCGAGAGGTCGCCTGCGCCCGGCAGCGGAGGGCCGAGGAATCCCCCCCCCCCCCGGCCACTGCCCGTCTCCCATCGCTGGGTAGTCGAAGGCCAGACTGTCAGATTGGATTGGGCCCCAGGGGCCAATCTGGCCCGGCCAAACTGGAGGATTTGGGTTATCCGCCAGACTGGATTCGCGTGGGCTCCCTCGCCAGATGGCCCCCGTTTGCCAGATTGGGCCTGCCAGATTGGCGCCAGATTGGCTTCGACTACCCAGCATCGCCGAGAGCGTTCCACGACTTGCGAAGTGCCTACACTCGGGGCCCGGAAGGAGGAGCCCTTTTCGTTGGGGAGGGGCTCCGCGTTCCTGAAGTGCTTCGCAGCTCGCCTCAGGTTTTCCTTATGCTTCCGATCGGAAATCGAAGTTGAACTCATGGAACAAAGAGGCCTCGTTCCTTATTTTGGGCTCCTCAGGTCAAGCCCCCGACTGTACTCGCAAACGTCAGAAAGCCATGGGTCTGCCTGTGCGATTTACCGTACATCCCCTGTGGCGGATCCAGGCCACTTGCGAGTAAATGCTTTGCGAGTAGTGGAGCGCGCTTGTCTATCCCACCTCCTCCCCAACCTCCTCCTCTTGCTGCTGCCCCTCCTCCCCCTCAGTTTCCCCCTCCTTCTTCCCAACGTCCTCCTCCTTTTTTTCACGTTCCCTAAGCAGTAGAGTACGACCCGGGTCAAGGTGCACCTGGCGGGCGCCGCGGAATATGAAAGAAGGAAAGACGGGCCAATAATAGTATATTCTAGACGTTTCGCGTATCCCCACCAGTTCACTAATTATCTGGCATTGCGCCCCATTGCCTTCTGACACGCCCTCTGGACTTTTCCTTGCGGGCCGCCGAACAAAAAAAAGTATCCCCACCAGCCATCACCCTGGTTTTGGTCAGCTCTCAGGCGGCGGCTGCTGCTCGAGAGTGCGCGTTGCTCTGCCTGATCCGGTGATTCAGGCGTGTTACGGTGTCGATTACATCCATCGTTGTCCTGGCTACTTCGCTCGTCCTACCGGGACCATCCCATGGACGGTCGTTCGCAGGATCAGTACTCCCTTCAGGAGTCTTGGTGTGCGACTGTGGTGGCGCCACCCTTTGCACCAGTGTGGGCCAGTATGAGCACCCACTGCAGTCGTCGCAGTGTACTGGCTGGTTCCCTCCCTGGTCACATCCTGGTACGACCCTCGCGCCATTTTGGCCGCGCCCCAACCCTGGTTGGTTAATCTTGCATGTACGCGCTCCTGGACCTGGTCCCTGGCAGCTGCAGCTTGCACCCACCCTCACGCCGGGTCGCCCGCCGAGGCGCTGCTGAGGTCGCCGGCCCGTCGGCGTTAGGCAATTCGGCTCTTGCGCGGCCCGCTCGGATCTCACTCGCCGCTGGCGCCCTCGCCTGCGGTTGCGACAAAAAGTACCCCCACCAGCCCATCCAGAAACGATGTCCAGGCGAGTTGAGGTGATCAGGGAAGTGCGGCAGCAAAGAGGAGGACGGCCGAACCGTGCAAAAGAGTGGGAAGGAGAAAGAGGAGGTGGATGGATGGATGGATGGACGTGGGAGCTTCTTGGGGCCATCTTGGAGGAGATCGGTCAACGAAGGGGGGTCCCTCAATTAAGGTCCCCCCCCCAGGAGGCCACAATGGGGCCCAAACCCCAGTGCAATCAATGATTTTGGTTTCCTCGCCGAGGCCGTTTTGGACGCTCTAACTACCCGCGGCGCCCCCCGTCCAGGTCCAGGGGAGGGGGTATGGGGGAGGGGCAAACCCCTCCCCGAAGGGGAAGAGGGAGGGGTGGAAGAGGAAACGCCCTAAACCACCGACGCCCAGAGGGCTGGTGGGATTAGAGTAGGCGCCCGCCAGGTCCTCGAGGTTGGCACTAACCTTAGTGACTAAGTACCCCCCCCATGAGTAACAAGACCCATCCCCCAATTGATAAATTTAGTGCCTCCTCGGATGGCAAGAAGCAGCGAACATAGAATGCACAGAGTGACGCAGTGTCAGCGACAGCCTCGATAGCTGTGCCAATCGTCCTCCTCCTCCTCCCCCTCCCCTTCCTCTTCCTCTTCCTCCTTTTCGTCCTCCTCCTCCTCCTCTTCCTCCTCCTCTCGGCACTGGCTTGGGTCGGCGCAGAACGTCTCGTTCACCCCGCTGTCGCAGCGTGCCCGCGACGATCTTGTTGCGGAATGGAATGGGTGGAGATAGTCTGGGCCAAACGGCCTTTGCCTTCCGACTCCACCTGGAGAGCATGCTCGCTCGGAAGGGCGGTCCGCGGGCGCGAGGGCGGGAAGATGACCTAGCAGCCCCCCCCCTTGGCAGGAGCGGCTGGCCGGCATGGACGCGGAGATGCAGCGGGCGGCCCGCGCGCGCGACGAAGCGTTGCGCGAGCTCGAGGCGGGCTCTGCCACCGACACGCGTCGGCCGAGAAAAACGGACAGCGGCGATTCGTATACGTTGTTGGTCCAGGATTAGAGGAGGAAGCAGTAACGATCCCGCTAATTACCCGATGGTCAGAACGCACCCTGGAGAGGTCCAGGGACTAAAGGTATCGGTACCTTTCTGTTCCCGCAGGGCTTTGGGTTTCGGGCCGTTTTTGTGTATCCAGGTTGTGGAACCGTTTCTAGTCGCTTCGCGTCACCAGGAACGATGCCCAGGCGAGTGGCCCTCCTCAGGGATGTGGAGGAGCACGCAGTGGATAAATGTTTGGGAAAGCCGTCACGCACCAAGAGGGGGAGGACGGAGGAGGAACTGGAGGAGGAGGAGGGAGAGGAGGAGACGAGAAGGACGAGGAGAGGGAGGAGGGTGAGGAAGTGGAGGAGGAGGAGGAGGCGGAGGAGGAGGAGGGCGAGCAGAAAGGTCAGAGGCCTCCTGGATGCCTCTCGGAGTCTCTTCGGATGTCTCTTTAGAGATTCTTGGAATCCTCACGGAGCGTCTTGGTGGACTCTTGGCGGTCTTCGGGGCCTCTTGCAGCGTCTTGGGGGCCTTCGGAGAGACTCCTAAAGGCCTTTTGGGAACCTCTTGGGGGCCTCTTGGAGCCTCCCGGGTGCCTCGTGGGGCCATCTTGGGGCACTCTTGGGAGCCTTGGAGGCCATGTTGGGGCCGTCTTCGAGGAGATCGATCAGAGACGGGGAGGTTCTTGATTGGGGTCGCCCCCCCAGGAGACCACAATTGGCCCAAAAACCGTAGGACAACCAATGATGATTTCACGGCGACTGTACGTCTCTGGTGGCGAAGACGACGGCGCCCGCGCCAGCGATGATAGAACGGCGACGCCGCCGCGGGCAAAGACGACGACGGGGGTGCCGTCGAGGGTCTCTGAACATGTCAGAAGCTTCGGCGCCTACGACGACGGTGACACCGAAGACGGCGACGGCGGCGACGACGATGACCAGCATCTGTGCGAATGCCGTCCCCAGGCTCCTCCGCAGGTCAATCTCAGCTGGCTGTTTCGGCTGCGCCCAGCCACGGCGGGCCAGGAACTCCTGAAACGAAGCCGCCGCCGCCGTCCTCGACGACGACGCCGACGACGGTGACAACGACGCCGAACACGGCGGCGACGGGTGGCGATCGCGCAGCCGACGCGGACGGCATCGACGACGACGCCGAAGGCGGCGACGGCGACGACGACGGCGACGGCAACGACGGCGACCGCGCCGCCGACGTGAAACTGCCCCCACGACCAGCGGCGGCGGCAGTGGCCCCCACGCTGGCATTCGCCCGCACGGCGGCAGCGAATCGTCTTCGACACGGTGGGCGTCGTCGTCGACGACGTCGAGTCGCCGTCGAGAAGTCGTCGCCCGCGCCGTCGTCTGGCGGCGGCGCGGGTGAGGCCCCCGACGCCCTGCGGCGGCAGCGACGGCCTGCGTGGGAGCGGCGGCGGCCTCCGCGCGCCGGCCGATTGCGTGCCCCGAAAGGCCGTGCGCGCGGGCGCGCAGCGGCGGTGTGCGCCGGCGCCGCTGCTGCGGGCGCGCGGTGGCGCGAGGTGAGGCTCCTCCCTACTCCTCCTCCTCCTCCCTCCTCCTCCCTCCTCCTCCTCCTCCTCCTCTCGCCGCACCCGCGCCCGCGCGGGTGCGCTGCGGTCGCGGCACGCCGGCGGCGGCCCGCCGCAGCAGCGGCAGCGCCACCGCCGCTGCCGCGGGGCGCTTCTCAGAGGCCGCTGCGCCGCGGCTCGTCGCCTCGCCGGGTGGCGCGGCGCCTGCCCGCCCGTCACGCGCCCATTGGCTCGGCGCCCGCCCGTCACCTTTCGGGTGTTGCTAGAGGTGCCCCTGGCCCAAGGTGCCCTCAGGATTTTCAAGGAGGCCACTGCGGCCTCCAGATCACCCCTCACGAGGTCCAGAGGGCCCCAGGAGCTCCAAAATGGAACGAAAAGCTGGGGGCACCTTGGGCCAGGGGCACCTTTAGCAACCCCCGAACCTTTCGGGCCGGACGAAAGGGGGGGATAGGGAAAGGGGGGGTACGAAATTTGCTGCATGCAGCTGGTTTCGGCCCCGCCGAGGGGCCCATTCTTCGATGCATGCGCGCCTCCGGCGCCGGGAGGCGCTGGGAGAATCAGCTACGTGAGCTGATTCTCAAACCCCTCCTTTGCTATCCTCCCTTTTCGCCCGGGCCGAACCTTGCTGCTCTCGGGTCGGGCGAGGGGGGGTGAAGCAGGCTTACGTCGTGCATGCCCCTCTGCAGGAGGAAGATTCAAAACTAGACCACAAATCATATGGGGATGTGTTTTCGATGTGTGTTGACCATGTGGGAACATGCTTTTTTTATTTCCATCTGTCCTCGAATATCCGCCTGTAGGAGGACATGCCCGCCCTAAAAGCAGGCCCTCACATGAGGAGCCAGCCGGTCAGCGGGTGCCCCACAGGAAATGTCTTGGGCTTTGGGGATCCGCAGAGGTCCTTGGTCCGTTAGGTGAGAGCGCAGGTGGACGGCGAATGCCCCCCTACATTTTTCAGTGCGAAATTGTTGTCTTCTCTCACGTGTGCCGGAAGTCGAAAGTAGGGAAAGGTGCGAAACCGGGAGACTTCCTCAATAGCTTGGCGCGTCGGGCGCCGGGAGGCGCCAGAGAAATCGGCTGCGCGAGTTGACCCGGTTGCCCCCCCCCCATTTTATTCCCCCCCTGTCGGCCGCCCCGATATTTTTCCTCCACAGGAACGAGGAGTGATGAGAATGAGACGTTCCAAGATTTGCAATTTTTTCCTCGTTCCCCACGCGGCCAGAGACGAGTTGCGCAGTGGGAGTGGCCGAGGACCGCCAGAAGCTCCGGGAGCTCCCAGAGCGTACCTGGAGCGAAACGCATCGTGACATCCCTCTCGTCCTACCCCTGCTTCTCAAACAGCTTTTTTTTGTTGGTCCCCCCACGATTGCTCGCAACCTTTGCTACTTTGTACAGTGCTGCCGCAGCACAGGGCTAATGCAGATCGGGCGGCGTCGAATCCCCGCGGAGGCCGAGCGAGACGTGCAGTCGTGCTGCTGCACCGGCGCCCGGCCGCCAGGAAAAGGTGCACCTAGCAAGCCCGACGGGTGAGGAGGAGGAGGAGGAGGTAGAGGAGGAGGAGGATGCACTTAATAATGTGCCACTCCACAACGAGTTGTTCAAACGAGCAGTCATGCTTCTTAAACCGTGCACCTGTGCCCTTGTCTTGTGCTGTATCGTAATGAACGTGTTGTATATTAACGTCCCTCCCAGATTGGCGGCCAGCCAGATTGTAAGACAAACGGATGTGACATTTTCAAGAGCTGGCAACCTAGCATATTGTCAAGGCAGTGTGGCACTTCCGTTTTGAAGAGGTCGTGTGCGGTCCCCCAGACACAGCATAGTAAGGTATCGACGAGGCCATGCTAAGGAAGCTGGCGCCTGTCGCATGTGTGTTAACTACTATTCTGCCTATCCGCATTGGATCAACAAGTGTTGAGTGGCATTTAATCACGGCGTGCGCCCAATGTCGGCAGATCTGTTGCACATAAACAGCATCGGTTCAATCACAGGTGGTTGCCACAGACATTGAGCGAAGGCAGGACATGAATGAAATCTGCTTGGACATTCATTTGCACGAACGGTTTTTAGTGACTTCAGCTGCGTTGCTATGATTGCTCTCATTTTGGCCAGCGGCTAACAAGGCGCGGTTCGAACATAATGCTATCTGACACAGGTCGGTATCTCTCGCGTTGCTTCGCATTTTACAGCAAGTTCCAGCACGTTGTGTGCGTAGCCATGTATTTCGACAGCCGCACGCTTGCCAGAGTCACTTTTCAGTGCGATGCATTGTCCAGCACCGTTGCATTTGGAATGTGTCACCGCTGGTGTGAGGTGACGAAGGTTGACGCCGAGTTCTCGGCCTCCATCAGGCCCTCCTTGTAGTTTGGCTGATAGTTACCCAGCTGAGTGTGGCAAGACCCACCACCGTGCCATCTCAGAATTCTGCGCGGCGACACTTCGAGCACCGAAGGCCGTAAGATGTGACATGTCTCGTGCACATTCCTTGAAGGGGCCCTCAGTCTGGGTCGTCTTGTGGCTGCCTTGGACTCCTGCGTGACCCTACTTGGGCCCTCTCGGGGCTCTCGTTGGTAGGTTTTGTGTTGTTTTGGGCCTTCTTGCGCCAGTGCGCCATTCTGTGGCCCTATGGTGAGTCTCTGCAGGCTGTCGTCTATTCGGGCTCTCTTGGGCCAAAGTGGGGCCATCTTGGGCAGTAACGGGGGCTGTCCTAGGCCCTTCTTGGGCAGTCTTCGTGCCTTGTTGGGGCTGTCCTGGGCCGCTTGGGGAACTTCTGGAGGCCCTTGTCGGGCTCTGTTGGCCTCGTTTTGGATCCGACGATGCCTTCTCAGAGACACCCTCATCCGAGTTGCCCTCGGAAGGGGGGGAATGAGTAGCTTGCTGGCGCACTCAGCACACGATTCAGGTCTAGCCTCTGCATAGTCACTGCACGGTCTCTGCAGAGCAGGTCCAGGACACGTGGTAAGCACCTTCCGAAGACGCACACGTGCACACGGGAGGGGAGGGGGTCGGGAAGATTACGGGGTTCTTGCAGGAGGGGGTCGGGATGGTTACTCCAGATTTCGTAATAAAAGGGAGGGGGTCTGGACCCTCCAAGACAAGCCATTTCAGACCCCCCCCCGTGGGAGAACCCTCCAAAACACAGTCCCCAGACCCCCCCAGGCCCTCCAAGATAGCTTGGAAGAGACCCCCCCCCGGAAATGAGACCCCCCTCCCTTTATTACGAAATCTGGAGTACGGGACGAATGGGAGGGGCGTTGTCACGTCTTCCGCCGGCATCCTGCGAGACAGAGTCTTGCAACCCACGGAGGGGGGAGGGTGCACGCGCCACTGCGTCACCCTGGAGGGGGGGGCGCCCCCGGAGGGTGTTTTCCGAAACCCCATCAGACAGCACTTGACATTCTGCTGCGCTTCATCGTGCCAGGCTGGGTAGTCGAAGGCCAGACTGTCAGATTGGATTGGGCCCCAAGGGCCAATCTGGCCCGGCCAAACTGGATGATTTGGGTTATCCGCCAGACTGGATTCGCGTTGGCTCCCTCGCCAGATTGCCCCCGTTTGCCAGATTGGGCCTGCCAGATTGGCGCCAGATTGGCTTCGACTACCCAGCCAGGGGGGCATGGTGGCGGCTGCAGAGGTATTCACAGCAGAGTGGCGGGGCGAGCAGTTCAGAGGACGGGTGGGGTGACTGGGCAAGGTCAGTAAATGAGCCAGCGTGAAGGCATGGTGTCCTGAGGGGAAACGGGTCCCAAACCCTGGGGCTCCCAGCAGGATCAGTTCTTCACCATGAGTGTCGTTGACAGTCCTGGGGTGGAGGGCTCTCGGGGCACGAAATCGGTGACAAACCTACAGGGGTCTTTCGATCCAGGACCCGCTTCCTTCACGCTGGATGAGCCGAGAAACGAAAGTGCGAAAAGCGGGACGCAAACGGGACGTCCCTGCACGGAGGCATTGGGCTCCTGCGACGAGTGGTTGGACGACCTGGATGTGCAGGCACATGCTTTTTGCGCTTCTGGCGTGGTTTTCTGGTTTTCCGAAAGTGGCTCGCACCAGGAACATCAACATTCTGGCGCGAGGCATCGCAGCTGCGCAGCTGTGTAGCGGGAAACAACGCATCCGATAGCTTGGGTCCGCTGCGCAGCTGCGTGCGCTGCGATTCCTCCTCGCGAGGATGTTCGAGGATCGAGGCTTGGAACTGTTGGGCGGTCCTCGCCGCGTTTGCGCGCATGGGAGGCTCCTCGCCGCCACGGCTGGATTCGCCTCGACATTCGGGTCGGAACGCACCCCAGGGGTCCTGCGGTTTGCGCCGTGTGCAGGCTCCCGGGGACCCTCCTGTGCCCCGGGACCAGTTGAAAGGTGGCCTGGGATGGAACACGGGTCCCGAGGAATGCTTTGGGGTCCGATCAGCAGCCAAGGGGAGAGGAGATGGGCGCCTTAGGCTTTTCAGGTCTTACGTTGTCAACCAGGACCCTGTTCCCCGTGCCAAGCGTGGATGTGGGTATCCTTGATGAGTTCCAGCTAGGGTAGCGCACTCAAACGAGGCTGGTGCACCCCAAAACGCTGAGAGGCCAGAGGGAGAGGAGCGGGGTGCCACTGGGCCGTGGAATTCGGACGCCCAAGATCGACATCATAGACCAGGGCTTGTGCCAGGACCCCGCCACGCTCGATTGGACGCTCTGATTGGGCAGGGGTTTGGGCTCGCATGCGCGGCATGTTGCCTACCGCGCAGTTTGGCTGTTGCAGAGGCCGAGGAGTGAAACGGACAGCTTTTCGGTTGGAAGGAACCGGGAGTAGGAGGGAGAGAGTTGGTTGGTGGTCTCCAAACCAGGTGGTGAGACACCCGGTGGTGACCCCGTTTCCCCAAAGAAATAAGTCTGGGTCACCACCGGGTTTGGGGACACGCGGTCGCCACGAGGTTTTGCGTTGTTTGGGCCAGCCAGCGCTCGAAAACCATTACCCAAATCGCCCAAAACTCACCACCGGGTGTTCTCACCACCACGTTTGGGGACCACCAAGTTGGGGAAAGAGGGTATGCTAGGTCTTCCGCGGGGGAGCGACGCGCATCGCGCCTACCGCGTCGTGGTGTGGGTCAGGGCGGCGTCCCTTCTCCGAGGGGGGCGGCGCGAGGGCGCAAAGACAGTCGCGCCTCGCGCATCGCGGGGCGAGGTGCGCGAGATCAGGCGATTACTTTGGGATTATTTTTGGGACATGTTGCATTTTCATCGAAAATACCCCTGTAGGGGGACAGGCCCGACTTCATCCTCGCCGTCGTGGCATGCGAGATGCGAAGCTTCCATCAGGTCGGGCATGTCCTCCTGCAGGCGGCTTTCGAACGTAAAACCAGAACATGGTCAAGAGGAACTCAAAAATAACCCCCCAAAAAGGGCGCGATCAGAAGCCGTCCCCTGACTACTTGTCTAACATCTTCTCGCTGCGCGCAGCGCTCCGGAGCGAGCGCTTGTCCTGACAATCGTCAGGCAGCGAGCGACTACTGGTCGGAGCGTTCAGCGGAGTGCCAGATGCACTACGTCGGCGGGCGAGAATTTTGTCGCCGGCCTCCGAGCGGTGAGGAAGGCTGGCCACGCCTTCCTCACCTTGCGCGTAGCGTTGTGCATACCTCCCTCTTCGGATCGAATCCGGATGGTGGGGGGTCTTTGAAATCGCCCCCCTGCACCACAAGCTAAAAATAAGTATGTGGAGGTTGCAGCGGGGGCGAGGGGCGCCTGGCCAACACATGGCACATACTCTAGCGATTCCTTGTTTATTGTTTAATGATCGGCGCCCCCGAAGCCGCGATCCGTGGCAAAAGCAGGATCCGCGCCCTCGACGATCCCAGGCGTTCCCCAGCGCTCAGCAGACGCTCCAGGAGCGCCCAAGCGCCCCCAAGCGGCCTCAGGTGCTCCGCGGGTGGTCCCAAGCGCTCCCACTCGCTCCCAGACGCACCCAGGCGCTCCCGAACGCTCCAGGTGCTCCCAGACGCCTGAGATGTTCCCCGTCCCTTCCGACCGCCCCAGGAGCGCCCAAGCACCCCTCGGTGGATCCAGGCGCTCCTCAGTCGGCCCAAGGCGCTAGCAGGCGCTCCCAGAGATTCCCGAAACTTCCAGGCGCTCCCAGACGCCACAAGAACGCCCAGGCGCTCCCGAGCAGCCCCAGGTATTCCCCAGGCTGCCCCGGGCGCCCCCCGACGCTCCAGAAGCGCCCCCAGACGCTCGCAGGCGTTCCTTGGCGCTCCAGAAGCGCAACCCGACGCTCCAGAAGCGCCCCCCGACGCTCCAGAAACTTCTCACGCTCGCAGGCGTCCTGGGCGCTCCGAGACGCTGCCGAAGCGCCCTCAAGCGCCCCGAGACGCCCCGCGCCCATGCGCCCCCCAGGCGCTTCCAGCGCCCCCAAAGCGTCCCAGACGCTCCCAGGCGCCCGCAGGCGTTCCAGGAAACTCCACGAGGCCCCAGGAAGCCTGAGGAGGCCCCAGGAAGCGTCACGGGAGCCGCAGGAAACTTGAGAGGAGGCTCCGGGAAATCTGGAAGGAGCCGCAAGAGCCCACAGGACACCAAAGAAAGCTACCAGAACGCCCCAGTCGACGCGGCCTGACGGACCCCGAGAACGCAGTTCCATGTTATATCGTGTCCCCCACCCTCCCCCTGCGCGGTGGACGCGTAGCGATATGCCCGCATACGCGCGCTTGCGGCGCATCCGCAGCAAACGCACGCGCGCGTGTCCAGTCGCGCAGCGAGGTGCAAGCACATTCGCGTATCGAGGGCACGGCGCCGAAACATCATCCCGCCGATGAGACGCGCGAGCCTTCCCGCTGTTCAGTTGCGCGAGCAGTCTGCCTGTCGCTGCGCGCCAACCCCAGCGCGAGAATTTGTGTTCCGAGGGTTTCGCCCGTGTCACGCGCGAGTCCGAGCGTGCTAGCGCTACCAAGTCGCACGAGCAAGCTGCTTGACGCCGCGCGCCGACCCCCGCGCGAAAACCGCGCGCCGAGACCGCCGCCGGTGCGACGCGCGAGACCGCGCCTGAGAAATCTTGACGCGGCGTGAGGGCTCCCGAGGAAGCTTTTCAATGTTTCGTGCCGACCCCCCCACCCACCCTTTGAGCGGTGGTCGCGTTGCGATGCGCCCGCATGTGCGACGTCGGTCGACGTTCGTCGCTCGTCGTCCGTAATTCGTCGTCGGTCGCCGTTCGTCCACAGTCGTCGTCCTGGCCACCGTTCGTTGTTTGTCGCTCGTCGTCGTCGTCGTCGTCGTCGTCGTCGTCGTCGTTCGTCGTTCGTCGTCCGTCTCTCGTCGTCCGCTTGTAGTCGTTTATCGTTGGTCGTTCGCCGCCGTCGCGTTTCGCTTATAGTCGCGCAGCGATGCGTCCGCATGGAAGTGCGACGTGTGCCATTTTCCGTGTTCACCCTTTGTGGGGGGAGGCGTGGGGGTGGAGGCGAGGAGGGGGCTCATCCTCGGGCGCTGCCGGGGCATGGTGGGGGGGGCCAGGACACGAGCACCGCGAACGCGCACCAACGCATCCCACCCCAAGTCTCTCTCTGTCTCCCTCTCTCTCTCTCTCTTTCCCTCTCCCTCTCTGCGCCCCGGAGCGGTGCCCCCGCCCGCGCAGGTGCTTTCCTTAGCTCTCTGCGGCGACGGCGCCGGCGGCAGGCGGCGTGCTGCTCGGCTCTCGGAAGGCCCCCATCGCAGCCGCGGCCGGTCGCCGCTCGGCGGCACGGCCGGCGATTTGGGAATGGGCCGTGGCTCGGCGCGGCCTCTGCCCGGGTCGGGGGAGCAGCAAGTCGGCCCGTCGATGTTGTCGGGCCTACAGCCGAGAGGCTGAAGTAAGGACCATTTCGGGCTCACGTGTTTGGTGTTGGGGCCGGTCGTTGGGCTTCGGCCAGGGAAGCTATGCGTGGCCGAGGCTCGCCATGGCCAGAGGGGCCCCACGGTTCCTTGTTCGGCGCCCCTGGTGGTCGCAAGATGAGCGCACGTCTCCCTTCCACCGAGCGCGTCCCGGGGTCGCTGCTCCCTGGCGCTCGGGACCGCTCCTGGTGGACTTCGATGGACCCCCGGACCAGAGGATATCTGAGGAAGACGAGATACCGCCACCCGCCACCCGGCACCGATGCCGCTCCTCACGAGGATGTTTGGGGATCGGGGTTCGAGGTTGTTGGGCGTTCTTCGGTCGTTCTTGCGTTTCCGGGGAGGCCTCTCGTCGCCACGGCCGGATTTGGCCCGGAATCTTGGTCAGAGCCCCCCCCGCAGGAGGTCGGGGGAGCAGCGGTGTCGCTATTCGTGTCTTTGCCTCCCAAGCAAGAGGGAGCCGCTCGCAACCGGCAACCGTGGCTACCAAGAGACTGCGGCCGCGCGCGCGCGCGGCGCCGCCGTGGCGCGGCGAATGGCGGAGGGCGCCTCTGCGCCAGAGCCGTCGCTCGGCGGGGACGTGGCGGGTAGCGGCAGTACCGCTTCCCAGGACCTGGAGCATCGGCAGAGGAAAAGGTCCCGATGCCGCCGCTGCCGAGGCGGGATTTATCCATTTCCGCCGTCCGGGGGATCGATCTCCGGGGACCTCTTGCTGGCGGTGGACCTGTGTGTGCTTGGCCCCTTCAGGGCACGAATCTATCCAGATCCACCGCCTGCCGAGGTCCCCGAAGATCGATCCACAGGCGGCGGCTACAGATAAAACCACGCCTCGCACCGCCGCTCATGGTGGAGAGCTCCCTTCGCCACGGACGGCGGGAGTCGCCTCGACATCCTGGTCAGACCGCACCTTGGGAGAGGTCTGGGGAGTAGCGGTATCGGTGCCGCTTTGCTTCCCCCAGGACTTGGCCCACGAGGGCGCGGGTGGGCGCCGCTTCGGCGTCGGGGCCGCCGTGCTGTGCCGGAGCGGAGAGGACGCCTGGGTCTCGGGGCGTGTGGTGTCGGTGGACTTCCGGGACGAGGCCTGGCCGCCCGGGCGCGTGGAGCCGTACGTGGTGGCGCTGGACGTCGGAGGGGGTCGGTGTGCGCACCACATCGCCTGGTCGGCTTAAGTCAGTATCGTTTAACCGACCCCCATCCCCATCTCCATCCCCTTCGAGACCCCAGCAACTTCCCCCCCCCCAGTTGGGGATACACCCCTCGAAACCCGAAGGGAGCGGCCTAGATCCCCATCTGAGGGGGGTAAACCGGCCAGTGGGGCCCCGGCCACGCCGCTGGGGATAGGGATCGGATAAACGATGTTCATTACAAGATGCCGAGGAGCTCCGTCAAGAAATTCGGTGTGTGTGTGTGTGTGCGTGTGCGTGTGCGTGTGCGTGTGCGTGTGCGTGTGCGTGTGCGTGTGCGTGTGCGTGTGCGTGTGCGTGTGCGTGTGCGTGTGCGTGTGCGTGTGCGTGTGTGTGCGTGTGCGTGTGCGTGTGCGTGTGCGTGTGCGTGTGCGTGTGCGTGTGCGTGTGCGTGTGCGTGTGCGTGTGCGTGTGCGTGTGCGTGTGCGTGTGCGTGTGCGTGTGCGTGTGCGTGTGCGTGTGCGTGTGCGTGTGCGTGTGCGTGTGCGTGTGCGTGTGCGTGTGCGTGTGCGTGTGCGTGTGCGTGTGCGTGTGCGTGTGCGTGTGCGTGTGCGTGTGCGTGTGCGTGTGCGTGTGCGTGTGCGTGTGCGTGTGCGTGTGCGTGTGCGTGTGCGTGTGCGTGTGCGTGTGCGTGTGCGTGTGCGTGTGTGTGTGCGTGTGCGTGTGCGTGTGCGTGTGCGTGTGCGTGTGCGTGTGCGTGTGCGTGTGCGTGTGCGTGTGCGTGTGCGTGTGCGTGTGCGTGTGCGTGTGCGTGTGCGTGTGCGTGTGCGTGTGCGTGTGCGTGTGCGTGTGCGTGTGCGTGTGCGTGTGCGTGTGCGTGTGTGTGTGTGTGTGTGTGTGTGTGTGTGTGTGTGTGTGTGTGTGTGTGTGTGTGTGTGTGTGTGTGTGTGTGTGTGTGTGTGTGTGTGTGTGTGTGTGTGTGTGTGTGTGTGTGTGTGTGTGTGTGTGTGTGCGGCCAAGGTTGCTGAGCGTGTGGCGCCGCGCTTCGGCGCGACGCGCTGACAGCGTGCCAGTCCCCAAGCGTCAACGTCCCCGAGCTTTGCCCAGCCCTTTTGCGGAGCGCAGCGACACGCTATCCGCACTGCAGGGCACAGCGTCGGTCGCGGGGCCGCCGGCGTAGCACGCTGAGCACGAGTTCCCGACCGTGTAGGCGCTCCAGCGTCCCACCGACTGGGCAGCCTGGGCGTCTATACACCAGGCCCCTGGGCCGACCAGACGATCTTCAAGGGCATCCAAAACGCCCCTACCCTGGTTTACGAGGCGCTGTGCGCTGAAACTCCTGTGGGCTGACAGGGTGAACCCTGCGTAATGTGCGGCGTCGTGGCGGCTCTCTAGGCTTTGGGGGTTTCCCAGGAGGTTTACATACCACGGACTTGTAACCCAGGGTAGGGCCGTTTTTTCATCCCTCAAGATCTCTGGCGTACACTGCCTGAGCCCCTCCCAGGACGACGGGAGTGACTCCGTCTTCGTGCACCTGGACAGCGAGGACGCGGTCCGCTGCGCGAGGTCGGCGCGGCGGTGCGCGGAGCCCTGGTGGGCGGCCATCTTCAAGGACAGGCCAGGCTCGCACTTCGCGCGAGGGGCGCCCGCTGAGGTCGCGGAGCTGGGGCGCCTCAGCGCCGGGCGGGACGTCGACGAGCAGGACGAGCGCGGGGAGAACGCCCTCCTGATCTCCACGCGGTACTCCTGGCTCGCCGGCGTGCAGGAGCTCCTGGAGCTGGGCGCCAGCCGAAGGAGAAATAAGTGCATACACATGAGCTTTCGAAGGTCCGCGCGGATGTTTTGGACCTGCGCTGGGCCCCCCCTGGCGGCGACTCCAGTGCCGCTCCGCGCGCTGGGGAGGCCCAGCGCGGATCCAGGAAATGCACTTGATGTCTATGCAAGTTGATGTCTGTGCAGTTTTCTCTCCTTCGAGCCAGCCCCGACGTTGTCAACGACCTGGGGCATGCACCCCTCCATCTGGCACTCCTCGGCATCGGCAGGGAGGCCGCCATGGTGGGCGCGCTGCTGCACGGGCGCGCCGACCCGTCGCGGAGGGGCTCTGCTCCAGGCCGGCTGTCCCTGTTCGACGAGCTGCCGGAGTCAGAGGCGGCGGGGCTCACGCCGCTGCACTGCAGCGCGGCCGCGGGCATGCTGGACATCTCCAGGGCGTTGGTGGAGGCCCGCGCTGACATCGATGCGCGGCACGCTTTGGGCGAGACGGCCCTGCGCTTGAGCATCGCGGAGGGCCACACGGAGGTGGCTGACTTCCTGCTCAGTGCCAGAGCGGACGTCACAGGGAGAAAGCATATCGATATTGCCGCCCTTGCCTAGTTTCTGTTTTTTTGTGCCTCATGGGAGACCCTCGTCGCGACGGGTTGATTCGCCTTGACAGTCCGGTCAGAACGCGCCTTGGGAGGGGTCTGGCGAGTAGCGGTATCCGCACGTCTTGGTTTCTGCAGGACGTGGATGCGGGCCCAGACCTTGGAACTGGAATGACCCTGCTCATGGAAGCGGCCCGAGAAGGGGACGGGGCCTTCGCGCGGAGGCTGCTGGAGCTCGGCGCGCGCGTGGATCGCCGAGGCCGGCAGGACCTGACCCCCTTGCATCTGGCAGCGCGTAGCGGGCACGTCGAGCTCTCTCGGCTTCTTCTGGATCATGGCGCCGACCGGGCGCTGCGCTCGCAGCTGGGCACCGCGCTGGAGCTGGCCGCCCGCAGGAGCGGCTCCGAGCTGCGCGAGCTGCTCGCAGCCGCGTGAGCGCGCGCACGCTGCGGCCCCCGCGCGCGCGGGGCCTGAGTAGCAGCGCAGGGGCGGCGGCGTGTGCTGCCTGCTCGTGGCGCGCCTGGGCCCTGCCTAGCCAGCCAAAACACAATCGGGTATGGCCAGGACCCCAGGTAAGGGGACCTGGTTAGTGGTAGGGCCCTGGAGCCTCTAAATTGGCCAGAATCACCAAACAAGGTCTGCCGTAGCTGGTGTTTTTCGGGTGACGACAGTTCCGATAAGTGGAACGGGGCGGGGCAGGCGTCCCCCAGTACTCATCACTAAACCAGGTCCCACTAAACCCAGTTCTGGCAACGCCCGACACAAGGAGACGTTCGAGGTCAAGCGGCTGCGCACCTGAGGCCGTGCAGGCTGTGGCTCAGCGGAGGTCGAGCTGAGGCAACGGTATAGTTGGCCTTCGCGGGGCACCTTCGTCGCCACGGCTGGACGCAGCTCGGAAAACTGATGAGTTTGGACCCTGGAAGGGGTCCTGGGATCGATTACGAACAGCCGTTGTCTCAACTCGCCCTGCCCCGCGCGGAGCTCTCTGGAAAGAGTGGTCCATTGCGCGCGGTCGTAAAGAGTGGGCCCGACGTGTCTCCAATCACGCCACGTTCGAGTCAGGATATACACAGGAAGCGTCGACATGTGACAGCGTGGTGTAGCATTCGCAGCAAAGCATCGTTGCGTTTGCCCTCTCTCTCCTCTCAGCCAGGAAGGGGGAGGCCGTGGCGGGGCCGGGCCAGGCAGCCGGCCACGGCCCGCAGCGTTGCTGTGGTGCGGGCCCCAGGCGCGTCGCCGTTGTGCTCGACGGTGGCACGCATTCTGAAGAGTCGACGTCTCCCCAAACAGGCACACCAAGTAAGAGACTGGCCTGCCAGTCGGCGCCCCACGATAGCTCCCTATTGTCCCGCAGAACCCTGGGGTCCCGCACCAAGCTCAGGGTAGTGGAAGTCGATTGGTGGAGGGAAGCATGCTGCCAAATAGTTCCCAGATGTTCAAAAAATGGTTCACACGTGCTGTAAATATGTAAAAACATGCTTGACACATTTTTAGGTCACGTTTCACACGTTGTAAACACATTGTTAATTCAATGCGTTGTCATGGCATCCACAAGGCTAGCGTGCCCGTAGCGTTATGTGCCCGCCCAGTGGCTGCCTCGTCGCCGCGCGCTGGCCGGATGCGCGGGGGCTCGGACGGTGGCCGCCCATCGCCGTCTCTTCGTTGCCTCGTGCGCTGGCCCGGTGGGCCGAGTCTTCGCCAGGTTGCCGGTCTTCGCCGCGGTGTTGCCCGCCCGTGCGTTGGTTGGGTGTTCTTGGCTTGCGCCCGTTGGTCCATACCATGTCGCCACAGAGAATCGAATCAGATGTGTTGCACCACGCAGCATGTACCACATTGAGCTACACATCGGATTTATCACGCACGCTGGCGACATAGACGACTGTCTCTAAAAGTGAGCAGACTCCACCCCTCCACCCAGGCCAGGGCTCGTGGTACCCTACAGTGTCTTTCTGCCGCTCTCATATCTCCCATGGTGGACCGCCCATCGCAAACATCACATGCTATAGTTCCTGCTCAGCCATCATCTGTCCCCCGATCTTCATTGTACAAGATTATGGCGGTGCATGCGCCTTGATATCAGAGCTGCGTTCTGTACCAAACCCGAGCAGACGAACATGTGAGGGCCGCATGCTCGCTCATGCCAACATCATTGCCAACCCATATGTCCAGCAGTTTCAACACATACGATTCAACTCGTATCACATCGATCCGGGCTTGATTTAGAATGGTTCACATCGCTGCTCGCGCGACATCGCTGACACCATGTAAGCACCATGGTCTCTGTTGTTCTGCCACATGAGAGCCTGCGGGCCGCACGAGCGCGCATGTCGAAATCATTCAGCAATCATCGCACACACGCCACGTATGCCAAAGGGTACAATGTAAGCTACACATGCACGTCGCCGCGCTGGCACGCCCAAACCCTTCCAAAGTAATCTGACCTGGTCAGTTCAAGAGCAAGCTCTCCAAGCGCATATGGGAACCAATTAGTTACCCATTGAAAAATATGCCAGGCATTCGGAATTGCTGCGCTTGTGAGCATTTCCTCTTTGGTATTATCCCAAACGCCTACGGCGAATCCCCGCCGCATTTTTCTTTTTAGGATACGCCGATATGGCCAAACACGCTATTGGACCATTCGTAACCCCCGCCTTTGTCTCCATCATGCGGGGTTGCTGGATATATCGACGCCTTTTTCGCTTCTGGCGCCAGGGGGCTTTCGGTTTCACAAGCGCTAGCAGTGGTCATGACCGCCAGTGGATGCCGCGCGCGTCGCCGCCGGCACCAGAGGGGCATCGGCATTGAAGCCACCCGCGCAGATCCTAATATCCAAAGGGCAGCGTCGTTGACGCCGCCCTCATGGCACCCAACCTTCGCGGGACATGAATTGCGGCGCTGTCCGCTTTGATCCCAATCTGGTGGGAAATCTGCGCCAGAACTGACGCAGAGCGCGGTCCGAATGGTTTTCGGTCGCGTTGTTTCTTCGGTTTATCCTCTCGCAGACGGCTGCCAATTGTGCTGAAATTCATTATTCCTATGCTTTCCCAATATATGGGATTGTTGCTCAGCGCCGCATCTCTCACAACAAATGTTGTCTCCAGACTTTTCTTGTTGTTTTTCTTCGATTTGACAATCTGGATGATTGCTTCGCCTTGCCGCGTTCCTCCCTTTTTGAGCGGCCTTCCTCCCCCCAGACGGGCTGCCGCGCAATCGTTCGTGATGCGATCGATTATACTTTCCCACATGCCTTAGGCAAGACTTCACGCCGCCAACATCCCGCATTCCCTTCGTTTGCCCGCGTGGGCCGTGCGGGCCAGACAGGGGGCTACCTTTGCCTTGTCAGGCTTGGGCAGGGGACCCCGGTTGAAATAGAGAACGTTTCGCCGCCGCTGCTCCCGGCGACGAGCGCGCGCGAATTCGACCGCCGTCAAAAGAAAACAATGGCGGTGCGCGCGTTCTGCTGCTGTTCAGGAGGGAGACAACACAGACACTATCAATCGTGGATTCCCAGAAGATATAGGAACTAGAACCATCGCGCGCGCTTCGCGCGCGCTCAAGTTCTAGCTAGGGTCATGATCATCGTCATCATTGTCATCATCATCCCCGTCATCGTCATCGTCATAGTCATGGTCACCTTCACCATCACAATCACAACAATCATAATGTCGTTATCACCTTTGTCATCAGCATCGTGATAACCATCGCCATCATCGTCATCGTACTTTTCAGCATCATCATCCCCATCATGAACATCTTGTTGGTCGTCGTCGGCGTCGTCGTCGGCATGATCATCGTCACCATCATCAGCGTCATCGCCGTCATCATCCCCGGTCCACTGCAGTCCCCTTCCCCTCCTCCTCCTCTTCCCGTTCTTCCTCTTCCCATCATCTCATACTCATCCTTTTCCTCGTCGGCGTTTCCCTGAAAGGGATCCCTGTTCCTTCACCTCCTCGTCCTCCTCCTCCTCCTCCTCCTCCTCCTCCTCCTCCTCCTCCTCCTCCTCTGCGTGGTTGCCACAAACCAGGTATCACTGGGGTACGCTTTCGTACACCCCTCCTCTTCCCCGTCTTCGTCCTCCTGATATTCCTCCCCTTCCTCCTACTCCTCCTCCTCCTGCTCCTCCTCCTCTTCCTCCTCCTCCTCCTGCTCCCACCTCCTCCTCCTCCTCCTCCTCCTCCTGCTCCTGCTCCTCCTCCTCCTCCTCCTCCTCCTCCTTGTCCTCCTTCTCTCTTCTCTCAACGCACCCAGTACACGGGTGCTTACTGGAACCCGTCCTGGTGCCGGAAGCCTTTTTGGAAGCATTGTGGCAATCTCTGGAGCCTCTCCAGGCCTTTGGAGTCCTTTGGGGCCTTTGTTGGCCCGTCTGAGGGCCAATTTCGGCCGTTCTGGGTCACTCTTGGCTCGTCGTGGGGAGTTCAGCCTGTCTTGGGGCCCTGCTGGGGCCCTCTCCGACCAAGTAGGAATCCTCTGGTGGTCCCCTCGGGCTTCCTGGGGGCTCTCGGTTGGCCGTCTTGTAGCTCTTCTGTGCCGCTTGAAGCTCTCGTCAGCCCATCTTGGAAGCTTCTTTGGGGCCTCTGGGGCCGTCTGGGGCCCATTTCGGTAACCTCTTGGGCCGTCGCGGCCGCTGGTAGAACTGAGAAGCGAAGCTCCCAGAAATATATTTTTTTCCATAGGAAATGCTTGAGCTGTGCCTTTGGAGGGCCTTCTCAGCGGCCTCTTGGACAGTCGTGGGGGGGTCCTTTTGGGCCTTTTGTGGCCCGTCTGGGAGCCAATTTCGGCTGTCCCGAGCCCCTGGCATGTCATGGGTAGCTGAGCCGATGGAGCTCTCTCCGACCATGTAGGGATCCTCCGGTGACTCCCTCGGGCCCCCTGGGGACTCTCTCCGGCTGTTTAGGAACTCTCTTGTGCTGCTCGACGTTCTCTTGAGGCTGTCTTGGAGCCCTCTTGGGGGCCTCGTGGACTGTGTGGCGCCGATTTGGGAAGCCTTTGGGGCCGACGTGGCCGCCGAAGGAACATAAGAAATTAATACCATAGAAGTGTAAGTTTTTTTCACCTGGGAGCCTTCTCAGCGGCCTCCTGGACCGTCTTCAGGGAGTCCCAGTCGGCTTTTTTGGGACCCTCTGGGAGCCCAGTTCGGCCGTTCCGGGTCCCTCTTCGCCCGTCATGGGGACCTGAGCCCGCCTTGGGGCCCTCGGGGGGCCCTCTCCGACCATGTAGGGATCCTCCGGTGGCCCCCTCGGGGTTCCTGGGTACTCTCTTGGGCCGCGTTGGAGTTCTCTCGTGCTGCGTGAAGCTCTCTTCAGGCCGTCTGGGGGCCCTGTCGGGGGCCTCTTGGGCCGTCTGGGGCTCATTTTGGGAGCCTCTCGGGCCGTCGCGGCCGCTGGCAGGAATGAAAAGCAAATATCCAGGAAATATACGTTTTTCCATCGGAAAGC